TTAGCCCTTTTAGTATTCTGTTTTAGTCCACTTGCATGAAAATGTTTCATTCATGAAGCTATCCTTCAGTAACTCTACTGGTTTATCTTTCACACTTTCACTTTTGAAAAGGAGCCAATATTAGCATTTTTCTCTAGGAACATCCAATTGGTCCGGCATAATTTACTTGAAAAAGCAAGCAAGCAAATGAAAATCTTCACCCATCCTCTCACTCTCAACAGCTACCTTTGCAATAAAAGAAATACCCAAATATGTGTTTTCTTATTGGAATTTCAATTATCAAATACATCTAACTAAATTATTGTGGCTTTAAGTAAGTTTTGAGTTTTATTTTTAATTTGATATTAGGTGTTTTCGGTTCATGATACTTTCACACAAATTTCAGAACTGGTTTGACAGCTTCTGTTTTTAACAATTACTTCTGGGATTTTGTTTGAAATTGTATTAAATGGATAACCACTAAGAAGGTAACAATGTACAGTGTATTGACTATCAAAACTGTCCTATTAATCAGCTGTGAAACTGTCTCATTCATATTTATTTCTCAATAAAAATATACATATAAAAATGAAATTGTATTAAATTTGTAAATAAAATGAGAATAGCCATAATACTGAGATCTCTAATTCATGAATATGGCATTTGTCTTCATTTACTCAGGCTTTCTTTCTCACAATAATCTTCGACAGTTTTCTATGAAGAGGTCTTATACAGTATATTTTGCATTTTAAGCATTTCTATGCATTTGATGTTTTTTGATAGTGTAACTAATAACTTCATGTTTCTTTTATCTGAGCTGAGTATGGTAGTACACACTTGCAATCCCAGAACTTGGGAGGCTGAAGCAGGAGTTACATGAGAAATACAAGGCATAAACAAATTAAAGACTAAAGTAAAAGGTAGATAACAGAAAAGAGGGAGATGCAGCTTTTGCAAATGGGAAACAGAACAAGAGATGAAGGGAGGTTGGAAGGATGAGAGAAGGAAGAGATGTAAAAGAAATGATGAAATGTACATGTGCCCCCCTTCCCACAATGAATATAATCTTCAGGTACTATAAGCATGTACCAATAAAAAAATTTTAAATCACAGACTGTTATTTTATTAATACAGTTCTGCTCTCTCATGAGATGATGGTTTCTTCCCCTTTTACTGAAGATAATTTATTCCTCTTTCATTGCACATCTGGACTAAAGCTGTCTTGGTCATTACGAATTATCATCTTTAAATCTTTCAGGCTTACATTTGCTAACATTGTGCATTTTTTCCATCAATTTTCAGGGGAGATGGCTAGTAATTTTTCTTCCTCGTAATGTTCTTACTTTGATATCAAGGTTATCCTGGCTTCACAAAATAAAATGGTAAATATGCTGCATCTTCCACAATTCTTGAATAGAGTCGATACCCTAACATTGGTGAGTTTATTTCTTAACTGTCTGGAAGAACTCACTTCTGAAACTATTTGCTCTTCTTAGAGGGATGGATTCAGTTTTGATAAAAGAAGCAAAACTATTCAGACTTTCTAATTTCCTTAGTGTTATTTTTGGTAGATTGTTTTCCTAGAAACATCATCTAAATTTTCAAATCAGTGTGTGTAGTTGTACCCAAGGTCCTCTTCCTACCTTTAAGTTTTGTTCTCTTACTGGGTCACCTCTTAAATCTTGCAACTTTTTTCTTTTCATCAGTCTTTTGGGGTATTTACCAATTTAATTTATTAAGTTTATCAAATAACCATAGGCTTTGCTGAATCTATTATTAGCTATTGTTATTCCTATCTCACAAGCTATATCAGCAGGCTTACACTAGAATCTAAGCTCCAGAACTCAGTAGAAAAAAATAAATGACAAACTAACCTACTTAAAATTTAATTTGCAAATTAAATTAAATAATCTTTTCTTCTTTTCAGGCAGAGCCTCACCACATTACTCAGGCTGGCTTCAAGCTCTTGGACTCAAACAATCCCCCTGCTCTAGCCTCCTAAGAAGCTGTGACTACAGGCATGTGCACCACACTGACCTAGAGTAAGTCTTACAACTAACTAGAATTAGAAGACTTGAAGAAATGCTCAGTAAACACTAGTTACCTTTACCTTGCCTTGTTGTTGCCTTGCTGCTATCATGGAAAGCAGCTGCGTATTTAATATTGCCGTAAGTAGTTAAATAAATAAGTTTCCATTATTTGAGTTTGATTTTATACTCTTCATGGAGCTTTTGAAAAGACTATCCATTACAATACTTGTTACTTGGTATAGGACGAATAAAAAAATATTAGTTGTTATATAATTAATACTCTAAAACTTGAGAGACTTCTAAGAATAGCCATTATTCTGATTATTAAGGAAATCTTTCTTTTTTCTATCTCTACTGAAATAAATTACACAATAAATACTATTTTGGTAGCCCTGAGTCAGTTTCTCCTGTGTGTCTCAATTCTATAAACTTTAAAATGATTAATGGGCTAACAAGATAGCTCGGTGGGCTAAATGCTTGCTTAGGCAAGTTCAGGGACAGGGTTTGATCACTGGCACCACATGCAGTCCCACCCCTGGGTGTGCTGAGCAGGCCTGAGATCAGGCATGGCGGTGCACACCTGTAATCCCAGGGCTGGGAAGGCTGCAAACAGAAAGATCACTATGAGTGCAAACTGCATAGTGAGACCCTGTACCAAATACATAAAATGATTAAGGCAACTGGGCATGGTGGCATACACCTATGATCCCAATACTCAGGAGGCTGAGACAGGAGAAGCACTACAAGTTTGAGTCTAGCCTGAATTATATATAGCAAGATCCTGTCTCAAAAAATAAAAACAATAACAATAACAACAAAAAGGTGAGGACAGATAAATAATTCCCAAACCTGGCCAAAAATGTTTACATCATATCACAATGATATATGTGCACCCATGTTTATAGCAGCACAATTCGTCATAATAAAATCTAAAAACAAAAGCAAATATCAAAATCAGAGACAGAAACAGAGTACCTTACAATAATAATATGGTACAGAACTTCAAAATAAGAATGAAAAAATTAACAGTGGTCGTTAATATTACATATTTTTATCATCAAATCTGTTGCTCAGATTAACAGATTTTGGAAACAATAAAAATGCCCATCACCTAAAGAATGGATAAAAAAAGATGTGGTATTTTTATACAGGGAAGCATTACTCAGCTATAAAGAAACACAAATTTGAAGTCTTTATAAGTAAATGAATGTAACTAGAGGCTACACTCATAAGTGAAATAAATCAGACCCACAGGTGTAAACATTAGTCTCCCTAGTGTAAGAACCTGAAAAAATAAAATCTGAACAGTATAATAAATACAATAAAATGAAAGGAAACTGAACATAAGGAACAAACAATGAAGGCAAAGGAAAGGAAAA